TGTGTGTGTGTGTGTGTGTGTGTGTGTGTGTGTGTGAGAGAGAGAGAGAAAGAGATTGTGAATGAATGTGTTTGCTATTGTGGAGGTAAAAAAATCCAGGTAAGAGCAAAATCACTGAGCCTGCCAAAACACTGCCTTGTTTCACAAGCCAAAGTAGTTTAATTGATTAACTAACCATTTATGCTGGGGCCTAATTGTTGAGTTTTAGCACGGTTGTAGTTGTATTAAGCTCCCTCTATGAGTCACTCCAGTCAGATGCTCTGTGTTCAGATAACCGCTTTGAACTTTTAACCAGACTGTTGTACAAATGTACAAAAAAGGACTGAAGAGAAATCAATACAAGATAAAGGAACGAGTTTCTGTTACATGTACAATACCCTTCAAAACTTTGGGGTCAGTAAGATTTTTTTTAATAAAAATAAAATGAATACTTTACAAATGTGACTAACAACTTTTATAATGTTAAAAAGGATTTATTTTAATTAAATGCTGTTCTTTTGAACTTTCTATTAATCAAAGCATCCTGAAAAAAATATATCACCATTTCCACAAAAATGCAAGAAAAACACTGATAATAAGAAGAAATGTTTCTTGAACAGCAAATCAGCGTATTAAAATGATTTCAGAAGGATTGTGACACTAAAGACTGAAATAATGGCTGCTGAAAATTCAGCTTTGCCATAATTTGGAATGAATTATATTTTAAATTATATTACAATAGAAAACAGTTATTTTAAATAGTAATATTTCACAATTCTACAGTTTTGTTTTTTTTACGGTATTTTTGGTCAAATAAATGCAGTCTTGGTGAGCATACGAGACTAAAAATCTAAAATCTCTAAAACGTTAAAAATAATCTTTCCAACCCCAAACTTTTAAACACTAATGTACATTTACAGTTATATGACAGACATTTTTATGCAAATTAATTTTTTTAATCATGTGTGTTGAACCCATGACCTCTGTGTTGTTAGATGATCATTGACTTTGACGACAACATTCACACAAAAGCTGTCCTCATACAACATGAAACATACAAATAATACGATATTACGACAAGTTTACAACACACTGAAAGCACAAAAAGTTTCCCTTTTTCTATTATAAAAGATAAAAGATGGATCTGTCCGGATTTGAGATCTTCTGGACTATGTTTCTTAGAGACCATTTGTCTTTCTTTTGGGATCCTTAGAATTCCAGTCTGGCAGAAGCCTTTGAAAATTTGGTAGCCCAATTTGGTAGGTGCCTCAAATATCATACAGTTTATTCGAAGGAAATCAAGTACATCAACTTTTTTCTTATGATGGGGTTATTGGAGGAACTCCTGACAGTATTTAGAGTGCCCACAGGCATTTTTGATTCCAACAGAGCCATTATGTAACTAAAGCGTAAACTCCGAGAAAATGGCTGATGGCGTTATTGGGGACAGGACCATTGACACGTCAGAACCAGCTGTACACTCATAATCTTCAAAGATCATGCACACCTCTTCTTTACAATTTAATGAGAACACTCAAAATGACTGGGTGGAGACAGAAGACCAGCTCACCCTGCCTAGCCTACTGTGATTGGCTTGATCTACACCACCCTCAGAGCTGGTTGGTCCGTGGCCCTGCAGTAAAGAGCAAGGTGATGCTGAGGTGGACCCTCCATCTGTGGGTTCCTCCTGGCTATGTGTGGAGCTCACAATGCCCCCTGGAGGACTGGATGATACAGTGCAGCTGCTCACAGTCCACAGGCATGGATACTGACTGAAAATCACATGAGCTTATTTACTTTACAACACCTTATTGGAAATATTGTGTACGTTTAAATGTATACAAGTCGGTTTTCTCTCTGACCTGCTGGCTCCGGGTGAGCTTGGAGCAGGTTGCATAGACAGCATCGCAGCAGGACCAGGAGGAGACGCACCTGTCCAGCCCTCGTGACCGGAGAACATCTGCACAGCACCTGGACTCAGATTCTCAGACAGAGCCACTTCAAGGAAAAATGAGAAAAAGTGACGTGAGTTAGCACAGAAAAAACGGACAACTAGAAAAACTTGACATGATACAGATTTGTAAAATTAATAGGAAACTCGGAAATATAAGACACAACTCCTTTTGTAAGTTTAGAGCTTTGGATCCCCATTCACTTTCAATATACTGAAATTAATGACTTGAACATTTTTAAACATTTCTCCTTTTGTGTTCCACAGTAGGTGCAAAGTCATGTTTGGAACATGATGGATGATGAGTAAACAATTACGTGATAAAGCAATAAGCCCGCTTCGCGTCGTGCCTAACAACGCCCCTTAGCTGTTATAAATTCACTGTAAACCACGGTTTCACGGGGCTTATTGCTTTTATAAAACGGTTATTCCATATACGCAGTACGGTTTCACAAAATAAAACCGAGCAAATAAAGTGTAATGATATTAATAAAAACAGTATTCTTCCACCAAACAATGTAGTTCCTCAGAATCAGATGTGGTTGCCAAGCAACATGCAAACGTAAACAAAGGTGTATGTTTGTAGAGTATTTTACAACAGCTTCGAACGTGGCTCAGCCAATCAGAATCAAGGACCGGAACTATCCGTTTTATAATTTTCATTTTTAGATTAATCATTCCCTTAATACAGGGGTTCCCAATCATTTAATTTTTTTTGTCAGCCAAACCCTTTGGACACGCAATATTTACTTTAAGTAACCCCTGACAAGTTAATATTTTAATAATTTATTGACACATTTGCATATTCACGGTTCTCTGATGTTAATGGTCACATGGCATGCAAGAAAACATAACATATTCAATCTTTTTTAGTGTTTGTTTATTGTTTTATTTAATAATAATAATAATAATAGTACTGCAAAGTACAAAAAAAAGATAATTATAACAATCTTATTTTACACTACAAGTTACAATACTAATATTTATATTGAAATTCTTCAATTAAATTCTTCATTAGCTTACAAAGCCCTTGCATTTCCTTTACGAACGCCCATTTGGGGAACCCTGTCTACAAAATGCATGATTGTCTGTAATTATTGATTCAAAATGCACTCTGAGAGATCACCTGAGTTATGGCCACGGTGGTGATGATGGTGGGGCAGGTAGGGTGATGGGTACGGGGTTGCTCGGTGCCCGTGCAGGCTTGGGTAGTGTTTGTACCCATGGTGGGGAGTAAGAGGTAAACCTCCTGGATACGGAAAGTTACCACCACTAGCAGAACACAGAGTGTCTGGGTTTGATATGAACCATCTGCCTGCAACCAACAAATGGACACCAATATGATTTACATAACACTGCTAACATAATGCTATACTTATTTCTTAAACATGTCTGTAAATCAGCCAAAAACACATATTATGTAAATAGAAAAAAAAAAAACAGGAAAATGAATGACTAACAGTGTGGTATGCCCACATGCTGGTTTTCAGCTGGAGGTTCTAGATGATTCTTAGGATGGCTCCTATAGAGAGAAAAAGCTTTGTGCATGAGACAAACCTCAAATCCAGAACTCATCTATCATAATGGTTAATATCATATAATAATCACATACACTATTGTTCAAGGTTGGGATTAAGACTTTTTTAATGTTTTTGAAAGAAGTCTCTTATACTCACCAGTGTTTTTGATAAAAATGCAGTAAACGCAGTAATATTGTGAAATATTATTGCAATTTAAAAGAACTGTTTTCTATTATAATAGATTTTAAATGTAATTTACAGCTTGCATTTTCAGCTTCATTACTCCAGTCTTCAGTGTCACATGATCCTTCAGAAATCCTTCTAATATGCTGATTTGCTGCTCAAGAAACATTTATTATTATTAATTAAAAACAGTTGTCCTGCTTAATATTTTTGTGAAAACTGTGATACTGTTTTCTCCACATGATTCTTTGATGAACAGAAAGTTCAAAAGAACAGCATTTATTTTTAGTAACATTATAAATATCTTTACTGTCACTATCGAATTGAATGCATGTTTGCTCAATAAAAGTATTAATAAAAGTGTTAAAAATTCTTGTGAAAAGTGTAGCATATATAAAGATTATTTACATTATAATGAGTCTGTTCTACTATTTATATTTTGAGGCGAATCATGTGACACCTGTTAGGTTTTTATTGAATGTGCTTATTGCTTTTATAAAACGGTTATTCCATATACGTAGCAAGGTTTCACCAAATAAAGTGTAATGATATTAATAAAAACAGTATTCTTCCACCAAACAATGTAGCTCCTCAGAAACAGTTGTGGTTGCTACAAAGTGGTTGCCGAGTAACACACAAACATAAACAAAGGTGTATGTTTGTTTGTAGAGTATTTTACAACAGCTTCGAACGTGGCTCAGCCAATCAGAATCAAGGACCGGAACTATCCGTTTTATAATTTTCATTTTTAGATTAATCATTCCCTTAATACAGGGGTTCCCAATCATTTAATTTTTTTTGTCAGCCAAACCCTTTGGACACGCAATATTTACTTTAAGTAACCCCTGACAAGTTAATATTTTAATAATTTATTGACACATTTGCATATTCACGGTTCTCTGATGTTAATGGTCACATGGCATGCAAGAAAACATAACATATTCAATCTTTTTTAGTGTTTGTTTATTGTTTTATTTAATAATAATAATAATAATAGTACTGCAAAGTACAAAAAAAAGATAATTATAACAATCTTATTTTACACTACAAGTTACAATACTAATATTTATATTGAAATTCTTCAATTAAATTCTTCATTAGCTTACAAAGCCCTTGCATTTCCTTTACGAACGCCCATTTGGGGAACCCTGTCTACAAAATGCATGATTGTCTGTAATTATTGATTCAAAATGCACTCTGAGAGATCACCTGAGTTATGGCCACGGTGGTGATGATGGTGGGGCAGGTAGGGTGATGGGTACGGGGTTGCTCGGTGCCCGTGCAGGCTTGGGTAGTGTTTGTACCCATGGTGGGGAGTAAGAGGTAAACCTCCTGGATACGGAAAGTTACCACCACTAGCAGAACACAGAGTGTCTGGGTTTGATATGAACCATCTGCCTGCAACCAACAAATGGACACCAATATGATTTACATAACACTGCTAACATAATGCTATACTTATTTCTTAAACATGTCTGTAAATCAGCCAAAAACACATATTATGTAAATAGAAAAAAAAAAAACAGGAAAATGAATGACTAACAGTGTGGTATGCCCACATGCTGGTTTTCAGCTGGAGGTTCTAGATGATTCTTAGGATGGCTCCTATAGAGAGAAAAAGCTTTGTGCATGAGACAAACCTCAAATCCAGAACTCATCTATCATAATGGTTAATATCATATAATAATCACATACACTATTGTTCAAGGTTGGGATTAAGACTTTTTTAATGTTTTTGAAAGAAGTCTCTTATACTCACCAGTGTTTTTGATAAAAATGCAGTAAACGCAGTAATATTGTGAAATATTATTGCAATTTAAAAGAACTGTTTTCTATTATAATAGATTTTAAATGTAATTTACAGCTTGCATTTTCAGCTTCATTACTCCAGTCTTCAGTGTCACATGATCCTTCAGAAATCCTTCTAATATGCTGATTTGCTGCTCAAGAAACATTTATTATTATTAATTAAAAACAGTTGTCCTGCTTAATATTTTTGTGAAAACTGTGATACTGTTTTCTCCACATGATTCTTTGATGAACAGAAAGTTCAAAAGAACAGCATTTATTTTTAGTAACATTATAAATATCTTTACTGTCACTATCGAATTGAATGCATGTTTGCTCAATAAAAGTATTAATAAAAGTGTTAAAAATTCTTGTGAAAAGTGTAGCATATATAAAGATTATTTACATTATAATGAGTCTGTTCTACTATTTATATTTTGAGGCGAATCATGTGACACCTGTTAGGTTTTTATTGAATGTGCATCCTTTCACAGGTAAATACTACATAACATATCTTATATTTTTTTGTTGTCTTGTCATTTCCTGACATATCATTTTTGATTTTTCGTCATTACATACATTTTGTAATTTAAATTTCGGAATTCATATTTTACTGGTGTACGGACTTTTGGTGGAAAAACATTTTTATCATGAACTCATTACTGTAATGCAAAAAAAAAAGATATAAGAATATATTATTTCAGTGGTAAAGTTTTATATTTCATTCAAAGTAATATTTTTGTTGTACTGCATTTAATTTCTGTTCATTTAAATATAAATTGAGTCTGGAATCTTTCTTTTTCAATTGTCAAGAATATAATGTAACAATGCAAAATATGATAATGGTCCTAAAATATGCATTGATTATATATACACATTATATAGGGGTATATCATTTTCTTTATGCAAAATAGAACTACCTTTCTCATCCCTATTTTCTATTTTTGGGGTTTGGATGTTCATGAGATTCACCCTCTAATAGTTGAAATTCACAATGTACAGTAAAGTCTCACTTGAGTAGGTTTTCAGCGGAGTTATGTTATGACTACATTTACTGGAGTACAATAATTCAGCGCTCATTCCACCAACATTGTTGTGTAATATCTCACACATTCTTCACTGTAGCCGCTTAAAATCTCTCACTCTCACTTCACACTGCCTCTCCAACAAGCTCCTTTACTCACACACTCACTCGATTCAAAGCATAAATGTTTAATAATTGGTCGCTAATCACGGCTGATTTCGCACAGTCATAGTAGCTTGACTAGCGCTAATGCCCGCTATGATAGTATTAGGAGTTGAAATACGCATTGTTAAATCGGTGAGAAAACTTATCTTCTGACACTGACGGTGTACTGTGTTTAATGTAATTGAAATAAACTGTACCTTTCCTTTGCATCAAGGAAAGCTTTAGCAAACGGATTGTGTTTTATCTTCAGTGCAGTTATCTGTGAAGGGAAGAGCAGAGGATTGTGAGCATAAAATATATTTTGTACAACATTGGTGAATCAATTATTGTACATACAAGCATTATACTTAGCATTCAACAAAACAAACAAGTAGGTTCTTCTTAAAGGTACAATTCCCATTTTCACCTGAAACATTTCTGTCATGTGATTTCATGATTTCAGAAGTTGTATGGACCACTTTTTATTTTGTATTTTAAAAGACACCTTGGTCATTATTCACTGTCATTGCATGGAAGCAAGCAGCACGAACATCAAGATTTGTGGAAGAAAGAAATGTGTCTGTTTTTTGGAATGACATGAGAGTAAATAAATTGGGTAACACTTTACTTGAAGGGGTGTGCATAAGACTGACATGACACCTTCATAATCATGACATGACACATGTCATGAATATGAAGGAGGTTTTATGCATGTTTATGACAACTGTCATTAAGTGTCATTCGCTCAGTTATGTAATTTTTAATGCAAATATGACATTATTTGACCTAACCCTAACCTAACCCTACCCCTACCCTTACCCCTAACCATAGCCCATAACAAAGACATCTCAAACAATGTCATCTTTGCATTAAAAATTACATAACTGAGCGAATGACACTTAATGACAGTTGTCATAAACATGCATAAAAAAACCTTCATATTCATGACATGTGTCATGTCATGATTATGAAGGTGTCATGTCAGTCTTATGCACACCCCTTCAAGTAAAGTGTAACCATACATTGTTACAGAAATTCCTTTTCTGGGTGAACTATGCCTTTAAGTACGTTTACCCTAAATGTTTTGTGAAGATGCTCTAACCTCTTCATTCTGGTAGGCCGTTACAGCGATGAACTGAGTGTCTGTGTAAGAGATGTTGGTCACCATCCTGTGGCTGCCTCCTATACGAACAATGTGAATCTGAGGCTCGTACTTATGGAGAGAATTCAGCATGATCTAGACCAGGTAGACAGAACAGAAGAGAAAAGTAAGAAAGAATTTGGTTCTTTGCAAGTGTATACACCGACTTTAGCTAATGTAGGTCCATACTGTACCAGTACATTCAGTATTTTAAACCAATTTTAATTGAATGCAGTATCAAAGAGGATGCAGAATTGCAAATAGGTTTTGAAGGTAAAGAAGAATTAAAACAGATTGAAATCCAAAGCAAAACTGCTGTATGGCTATAATAAAACATTTAATTTTTTTCTATATGAATTACCCATATTTCAAAGAACATTACATTAATTATATAAACATTAAAAAATTGTACTCAGCAAGAATGCATACATTAATCAAAAGTGACAGTAAAGACATTTATGTTATAAAAGGTGTCCATTTCAAGTAAATGCTGTTAATTCACTTTCTATTCATCAAAGAATCCTGAAAAAAGCATATCACTAATTCCACAAAAATATTATGCAACAAAAACTATTTTCAACACTGATAATGAAAAGAACCATTATTAATAATTGAGCACTAAATCAGCATATCAGTATGATTTCTGAAGGATCATGTGACACTGAAGACTGCAGTAATGGCTGCTGAAAATTCAGCTTTGCATCACAGGAATAAATTACATTTTTAAATATATTCAAATAGAAAATGGTTATTTTAAATCGTAATAATATTTTGCAATATTTTGCTGTATATACTGTTTTCACTGTATTTTTGATCAAATAAATTCAGCCTTCGTGAGCATAAGAGACTTATATATTTATTACAGCCACTTAAAGCAGTTATATGAATTGCTTTTCATTTGATTTTCATTCCATTTAATTCTTCTTCAATTTTATAGATTTTAAGCTCAATATAATGACTAATTTAACAATATAAACTAATTTTAATGTCAACTTTTTTGTATGAAGTTACTTGACATAAAACAGTGGCTATTTAGTAGTGCTGTATGGCAAAATTACAAACTATTTTGGTGTCAGTGTTAATTGTTTTGACAGTAACCGAACTTAGTTAAGAGCAATACATCTAATCAGATGAGAAGTAATATATTTTCTATATCAAAATGTAATTATTTATGTCATAAAACTGTAATAATACTCCCAAGTCATCAGCTGAAAATTTGGACAGTTTCACTATACTGTATATTGGTAGGTCTTTACATTTAGACACTGCATTGTCTGTTTTTTGTGTGAAAAAATTCTTCGGATGACTGCAGTGACCACGTCAAGCACGGATAAATCTATCGACCCGAATTCTGAGAAAGAGACGGATGGAACGCATTTTTTTACTCTAATTGGTGGATTACAATGACTGATGAGGGGCAGGTACTCATCTGCATGGCTACAGAGGACATAAAGGGCTTTGTGTGCTTTTCTCTCCCTGCTGCCTTTTTTAATACGTTGCCTTTTTGAACATCTAAGGACTGATGGCTAAATTAATTTTGCATAGAAAAAACGGTAATTACCATAATGTACAACTAACCACAGCAATTATTTCATTTAGAGCTGGTTCTCTCTCATCGTCCTCTTCGCTGCCAGCTCTGCGTTTAAAAACCCCGGTAAATAGGGAACAGACAGGAATAGAGGAGAAGAGGATAGGGTGGCGGGGAGGGCGCAGGGGAGGGGTCATGTAAATACCAATAATAATTTGGTGGCGGAGTCATACTCGAATGGAGCGGGCTGGAGCACCTCGCAGCGGCCCCGCTGAGAGCCAGGATGGCTAGCTGAAGTAGACCACTCTCTGTCTGAACGGCAGGAAGTGCATTAAACGAGAAAAGTGGCAATTAAGAGCTGTTTATTCCTGTTTACATGCAGTCCCTGCTGAACAAAGGGGCTCCATAGGTGAAGTGGATGCAGAAGAGTGCACTAATTGTATAAATGCACACTTGAAATTTCCCCGTGGCAGCGCACAGGGTGATTAAAGGCAGGCCAAGACTCCTAAAAGCTAGAAGCCTGTTTGGACACACAAGAGCCCTGAGAGGCTACTCAAGATTACGGAACAGGTCACGTACAGCATTACACACCTGCACAACATGAGCGTTACATGTGCAAAATGTGCAGAGGGTCTTTGTTTTCTTGGGATTTTTTCGGGGAACAATTTAACAATGTGATTAGATGAGAAATCAGTCGAAGAAAGTGCAGTGGAAACTTATGTTAGCTATAAAGATAGTCAGTTCACTGTGTATGTCTTGTATGTGTCAGCATTTCAGCACCTGGCCGCCCCCGTTGAGTTTGTTGGTCAGTTTGACTTTGTTGAAGGACACCGGCGCTTTCATCCAGTGGGCACCGAAGTTGGGCGAGTCGGGGTGGATGTAGACGCAGCTGTGACTGTGAGGCTCAGGTTTGCCCGCAGGGACCCACTCGCCGTTCACGTACTTCCAGCGGTGCCCGTCTGCAGGACTGAAGTCCAAGAGGAACGAATACATGGCGTTGGGATCCAGACCCGTCACGCTGACCTTCAGAATTGGAAACATCCTCCTACAAAGGAGGAATCATGACAGAAGAACTACTTAAAATGCTAATTGGAGCTCCTAAAAATGCCTTTTCAAAGCAATAAATAAAACAAAGATAACTGAAGTATGTTTTACAAGAAAATACAATTTCAGTCTTGCAACTTTTTTCTTTCAGTCTTTCTACTTTTAGTCTTTCTAATAATTTCATGTTTAATTCAACGTGTTGCTTGTAGGTTCTTGGTAATTATTTGTGAAATTTAAAAAAGTGTTTCTGAACCAGTTGTGCGCTCTTAAAATAAAGGTTCTTTATTGACATTGATGGTTCCTTCAACAGCCATGGAACCTTTCCATTGCACAAAAGATCTTAAAGGGATAGTTCACCCAAAAATGAAAATTTGATGTTTATCTGCTTACCCCCAGGGCATCCAAGATGTAGGTGACTTTGTTTCTTCAGTAGAACACAAATGAAGATTTTTAACTCAAACCGTTGCAGTCTGTCAGTCATATAATGGAAGTGAATGGGAATTTGGTTTTGTTTCTGTATGTTTTTTTGACTCTCAAAGCCGTGATTCCTATTCACCTCCATTATATGATTGACAGACTGCAACGGTTTGAGTTAAAAATCTTCGTTTGTGTTCTACTGAAGAAACAAAGTCACCTACATCTTGGAT